ATATTTTGAACGATAGTCACCGCTTCATTCTCCAACTTTGCATCTTGCTGCCGGTCATTTTCGTCAAGGCCAGCCCACAGTCAAATCTCCTTTGGGTGGGGCCCAAATCTCGGGCCGTCTGCAGACCCATCGGCTCCGTGCTAAAACCGTAGGCTCATCACCGGTGTCGCACCGACCAAGTCTCGCCCCTAGGCTGGCAAAGTCTTCCAGGGAAGGTCGTAGATCGCAGTCATGTCGGCGCATATCGATAGGGGGAGATCAAGGCGTCGATTGGAGTCGCCCTGGTAGAGGATGACGTCGCCCCCGGCGGTTAAGGTCATGTGCGAGACCGGCGTTCGCATGAGGTGGTGGTGGAGCTGACATGTTAGGCGAGCAAAGTTACAGAAGATGGCAGGTGCCGGGGGTGGCCGAGTAAGCAGGGGAGACCTTGGCGCCAATGCAGGTACAGCTTCGACGCCTGTAGTTTGCGCCGGCAACTTTACTCAACATCCAGAACTCGAACGACAGTCTGTTACCATCTTCTTGTAGTCTGCATCGACACCTCGTGTTCCTGCGCGGTTATGCGGCAGCAGAATGGCAGCAAGGCCCCTGAATTTTCCCCGGATTATTGGGTGGCTGCCTTCTAACCTCCAAACAGCTTAGCATCATGGCACGGCGGCCGTTGGTGTGCTCCTCATGCGCCGGGATGCATCGTCGGTGAGTGGCTCCTGGGCTAGACGCTCGCTATGATCCTAGGCGAGATGCCTCGAGGGCTGTGCGAACAGAGGGAAAAGGGGGCTCCTGGCCAAGCGTCTCACTGGCGAACGGCCGATTGGGCGCATGAGCATCCTCATCCATTAGCTCCAGAGCGAGCTATACTGCTTTCGTCCGGCAATTTTGCATCTTCTGCCGTTGCTTTGGCGTCTCGATCCGGTCCAGGTAGCCGTTGGGTGTCAGCGTATTCTTTATTATACCCCGTCGCCCACCGTCGTCTTTCCTTCTTCACTCCCACGTCGCACTATCGCTGTACACAGTCACTCGTTCTTTATCCAACTACATATACCCATACAGCTACTACAGTTCTAATACTCTAATCACCAATCCAACTACCGTCACCATGCGCTTCTTCGAGACCATCCTTTCCGCCGCGGCCTTCGCTGCCGCCGTCGCTGCCCTCGAGATCAACGACTTCCCTGCTGAGGGTGTCGTTGCTGGCCAGACCTACACCATCACCTACTCCCCCGCGGACGACACCCCCACCACCTTCATCCTCCGCCAGGGACAGTCCACTGACCTCGACACCGTTGCCACTCTTACCAGTATGTGCCCGATCTGACAGAGATATGATCTTCCAATTCTAATTGAACTCTAGCTTCCGCTACCGGTGGAAAGTTCGAGTGGACCCCTACCAAGTCTCTCGTCAACGAGCCCGACTACGCTCTCCAGATCCAGCAGGGAACCACCATCAACTACTCCGCCCAGTTCCCCCTCTCTGGTGGTGCTGAGGAGGATGACTCCCCTGTCTCCTCTGCCGTCTCCTCCGCCATGGCCTCTGCTTCGTCCGCTACCGCATCTGCTGCTTCTTCCGCCTCTGCTGCCCTCAGCAGCGCCATTGAGAGCGCCAAGTCCAGCATGATCACCAGCGCTGCCTCTGCTTCCGCTACCATCAGCCCCTCCGCTGGCGTCAACTCCACTGTCACCTCTGCCACTCTTACCCGCTCTTCTTCCGGCTCTGCCACTGGCAGCGCCAGCCTTCCTGAGGTCACTGACTCTGGTGCCAACATCCGCAGCCCCGTCGCTGCTATGCTCGGTGCCGCCGCCGCTTTCGCCTACTTCGCATAAGCGTTTCCCTTCACGACCTTATACTATAATTGTCCTTTTACGACATGTTAGCATTAGAATCTGTGGGAACCCCCTCTAGCATCTATTGTCAATTTGAGTCACGCGAGCATTGGCATCCGTGATGGGTGTGTCTGATGGGAACGCTATGCAAAGAGCTTGTATAGACGTAGCAGAAAATGATAATATGGAAGCATTTGCCTACTCATCCATGATCTTGCAAGTGATGCGTGCAATGACACCATGCCTCTCGTCTCATGATGTATCAGATGTAGTTTTGCTTGTGCGAGCATAGGTGCTTTCGACCTATGCGCACTTACCGTGAAACATCCGTTCCGCTTCCCTGCTTCTTTTGTTACTTCCGCAATGCTTGGAAGATCTCTATCATCGTAGCACAGACGTCACAATCAATCATCCGCGTGGTACCGCATCCATCATGTCTCAACGGTACCGTGGTACGAAGCTGTCATAATGCGTCGCATGCGCGCTATCCCCGCATGTCTATCACAGCAACCTGGTAGCACACGGTAGGTACTGGGGTCAATCACTCTTTGGCGTGTGCGCAATATGACGTTGCGTTTGGCGCGTGTCAAGAACCTGAAACGCGGAGTTGAAGATCGCATCTTGTCGTTCGTCGCGCCAGGAAAACTGTGGTTGACTGACCAGGTGACCCCACAGCGGGATTGTTCCCCACCTCTCCACAGATGCATCAAGCAAGCTGCAAGAACCCGCTGCTCATTGCCACACCGTAACCACACCTCAGCGATTCTCTCTTCTCCGTCGCATATATCGCTTGAAGGTTTCAACATTCTGTTGCGTCTTGACAAGCACACAGCCCCAAGGACGCGAACAGCAGCAGCACCCGCATCGCCACCATCAGCTAGTTTCTAACCAGCCGGCGTACACCGAGTTCCACCATCACTAACTACAAGGACTGCGCAAGCCTACCAAGCAAGCCACCCGCCTACCAACCCAAAAGAGAGTAGACATGTAGCACTGCCTGGTGCCGTGTGTTGCGCGTCAAATGTCTTGTATCACGCGGTCAACAGCGTTTTGATCGAACCAGGACTTGCCACGGCTTGCGCACACTAGCGCCGAGTAGTGGCGGCCAGGCCGAGGCTGATGTGCTATTAGCTTTAGAAGAGATGGATTGATACCTTGCATACCGAACATTTCAAAGGGCCTTTTTGCCAATGCGGCGGCGCTGAAAGATATATTTAGTTTGTAATCGCAAGAGAGGCTAGTCAAAAAGGCTTGAATCAATGGTAGAGCGGTCGCGAGCTGGGAACTAACGAAGCGCAGCTGAAGCCGAGCCTTGAACAGTATGGTGAGTCTTCGCCTTTGCTTAGGCTCACCGTTCATAGTACTCTTGATCCTGCAAGCCTTTCGCCATTCCTCAGTCCGCGCCATACGCGATGGCTACAGTCTAACGTTGGGCATCATTAAATGCCTCAATGCTTACGTAGCCGCTTCCCTCGCTTTCGATAACCGACATTGTTGCATTCGCTCGTACTTCGGTATTATGACCAGGTTGTCAACATATCGTTAACCTTCGCTTTTACCTAACGGGTTGACTCCAGCTTGACTCCAGCTTGAATAGGAAACCAGGACCGTTGCTGCCACGACGATCACGACCATGCCAGGAGCTGAGTTGAGTTGAACGAACTACGCCACAACAAAGTTTTTTTCACAATTGATCCGGTCACCTCTTTCTTGCTCGTATCTAAAGCTAAGTAGCCACATTGCTGGTGCTATGCCATGGTGTCCGTAAATTTGACATTCTTTAATTTCTTTACGCGATACCGTCATCCAGCCTCCCATTAATCGTCAAGGTCCTACCGCTCTCTTCCTTCACTCTAGTGGTTCTTTCTCAGTCCAAGTATTGGCCCAAACGTTCCAGTGTCTGTACCTAAACAACTGGTATCGGCTTTCCAACACTCTTTCTATCCAAGAAAATTCGCCCGCTGAGCACATAACCCCTCCTCACAATGTCCCTTCTTCTTCTCCCTACTCTACACAAACAACACTCCCGCAGCCCCAGCCATCGCCCCCGCAAATCCCATCTTCTTAAGACCTCTCACGGGAACCGCAGCACCAGTAGCCTCGACAAGGCCTGAAGCACCCGTAGCGCTCTCTGTACTGCTTCCTCCACTCCGCGTTCCCGTCACACTCTGTGAACTTGCATCAAAGCTCGCCGTCCTCGAACCAACAGCACTTTGAATACCAGTGATGACTGTAACATCTTCGGTCACTGTGTTGGAAGGCACAGGTGATGCAGTATCGACTGCCAGACTCGGTGCTCCAGCTATTGATGTTGGGAGCGAGCTCGCTGGTGTACTGACGCTGTTGTCGACGGTAAAGGCGTCACCCCATGACGGGGTTGGAGATGCGGATGGGAGCAGGTTCTCTGTTGATGTTTCCGCTGCGGGTTTGACGGCGAAGGGCTCACCCCATGACTGTGTTGTCGCAGAAGAGATGCCGAGGAGGGAGAGGAGAGTCGTCTTTCGGAGGGAGGATTTGCGCATATTGGCGGTGTTTGCTCGGTATGTCTTGAAACTCGTTGCTGTTTTCCCTCGATGCTTGGAGCTTGTCTAGGTTATTCTTGAGATGCGTACACTGAGTGACAGGGTTTCAAGCTCCACGGCGAGGGCTTCTTTTTACTTGGATGCCAGGGGACCCTGCGCTCATCCCGATACTCCGGATCATCGCTATCCACCCAGAAATTGCCGTATTGAGCGTGTAGTACTCACAAGTCTGACGTAAGTTTCCAGCACAAACAGCGATGCGTATCGCGTTAACGTGGTGAGACAGCCAACCTCCTGGTTTCTGATAGGCTGTCAGTCCGGATGGAAGGTGTATGATTGGTCGGGAAGGCTTAGTGCTGTCTCGTTCGGGTCTCCGCAATGCTGCCGCACGCGAACCACTGCCGGACCCCGACATTTTGCGATGCCGAAACGACGCGCAACATTCTGCAGTGTGATATGCACTCATTCTTATTATAGGAGAAGTGTACGTTACAAAGAAGCTGGTGGCTTGCTGTGGCGTTGGGATCTACCATCGGAAACCAAGACACCAACCAGTCATTAGAATCTTACGACAACAGTTGCAATTGCACTACGGAGAGCTTACTAGGAGTCAAATCCATTTCTATTCATCAAAAGTTCGGCCGGGAAAGAGCTCAACTACCATTTGACAAGATCCTGCACTTGGACAGGCATGCCGGTCTCCATGGAGCGATTTGCACCAACACCGACAAGGACAGCATTACCGCCATCCCGGATGTACGCAGCCCGTTTGAAGCTGTCTTCACCATCGCTCGTAGCGATCACATCTCGAAGAAGCAGGGGATCGCCTCCTCCGTGGCCGCCTTCGCTCTTGACAACATCAACGACATAAGGCTGTCCCCACAAGGGATACACCACAATATTCGTCTTCTCCACGCCACCTTGGATGTAATTTGCTTCGAGCTCACCGAGCCCTTCGTTGGTGACAGTCTCACCGCCCGCTGAGTACCCGCCTTCGACGACGTTTATCTCAATGCGGCCTTTGCTACCATTGAACACGCAACGATATCCCTCCCATGGCGCATAGGCATATGTGTTGTAGGTCATGACGGCTTTATTCTTGTATTTGATAATCATGGAGAGATTGTCTTCGATAGTGATGCCATCAGCGAAGCAGTTGCGGTCACGGATGTAGCCATCCTCGTGCTCAGCCTCGAGGTACAACTTCTTCAATTGGGCGTTCTGGTCGATATGAATGGCAAACGGATCGTCTTTTGCAGCCTCGTTGTTGAGATAGCGTTCGCCTAGATTCTTCTCTCCACGTCGCTCAGCGTTCTCTCTACCGTAGAAGCGTAAGCTACCGACGCAGTAGACCATCTCGGGTTCCGTGTTCAGCCAGTAATGTACCAGGTCGAAGTGATGAATGGACTTGTGCATCTGGATACCACCACTGGTGTCTTTGTTTCGATGCCATCGTCGCATAAAGTCAGATCCATGTGCGCAATCCAGAATCCAGTCCATATGTACCGTCGAGATTTCACCAATGACTCCGGAATCGACAAGCTCGCGTAGCTTCGTGTGGTGAGGTGCGTATCGATAGTTGAAGAGAACACGAACTTGCTTGCCTGTCCTCTTCTCCGCATCGATCATGGCTTGCAGCTTCTCTTCGTCGATAGTCATCGGTTTCTCGGTAATCGCGTCGCAGCCCAGCTCCATAGCGCGGATGCAGTATACGTGGTGGAACTTGTCGATGGTAGTGACGATTACAACGTCGGCCTTTTGCTCTTTGACCATCTTGTCGAAGTCTTCTGCCTTGTACATCGGGACGCGTTCGCCGCCGATCTCGGCAATGCGATCATTTGCAGCCTTCATGCGCGTCTCATTGGTATCGCATATGCCAACGACTGTAGCGCTCGATTTGAAGTCTTGGATGATGCTTTGGTAGTAGAACGCAGATCTAACGCCCATGCCCACAATGACATAGCGTTTGATCTGTGGAGAAGTCATGGCTTTGGGGAGGAGGCTTGGATGTTCAGAAGTAGGATATAATGGTGCTTGGATATGGAACTGGCGACAACCAGAGTGGTCTTACACCCATCTTTATACAATATCTGCCTTGAGTCTGCATGATTCAAGGTGAACTGGTACTATGCATCAGTACTAGTAGAGCATCAAATCAGAGGCCTTCATGGCGAACCAAATTGATGATGTCCAGTAATCGAGTGTTTCGTTGCAGGTGTTCAGGTGGAGCAGCGGAGTGTGAGAGTGTAGGTAGCACATCGATACTGCTCCCGCTTGTTACACACTTCGATCGGCTAATAGCTCTGGAGTCCTGCTGCAAATATGGAGATTGTATGGCATTCGGGAGGGAAAGCACCGAAGAAACGGACGGCTGCAGCATGCTCCACTTGTCGGTCACGCAAGAAACGATGTTACCATTTTGAGGACCGCGGATATCGAAGGAAGGAGCGGACTTGCGGAATAGGAAGTCGAGTGCAAGAGCCTCATCTGTCCACTGATATAGGCGAGCCCATTTCAAGTCCCGGTCGCGTGAGCGAATACAACCCTGAATCTGTCCTCGCAGCTCTGTCAGAAGACGCTGATTCAGGAACAAGCGCCTTAAATCAGACAACACATGCGACATCATCTCAACCTACGCCACACGCTATGGTACTAAATCCTTCCGCCGCATACGAAGCACAGCGCCGATTGAAGTGGTACGAGCAACATAAAACCCGGACCACCACGCCGAGCCTATCCGAGTCGTATCGAAAACATCTCGAGGAAGAAGGAGCTTTCGCGTCACTACCCAAAACGACAACGGACGCTCTCTTACCCTTGTATATATCCACACTGAATGACCTCACTCCCATCACGGATGGCGCTGCTATCTTCCGCGACAACAGCAACGGACAAGCATCCATCTACTTGGTGAGGGCAATATGTCTTGTCGTCTGCAAAATAAAACACGCAGCTCCTTTCTTGCGTCTGACTGGCTCTGGGCCTTTACTCAAACCTCTAGACTTTGCATCAAAGCTTCTAGCTGGACTAGATGCTGCCATTAAAGCAGACTTGGAGCCTAATCGCATCATCAAAATCCAGATTCTAGCACTGATGCACCTGCACAACGACGGCCTAGCAGGCGTAGATCGCGCGTCCAGTTATCTGTCACAGGCTATCTGTGAAGCATGGTCAATGTGCATACACCTGAAGATACCCGAAAACCCAGATAATGACGAATGCAAGTATCTATGGTGGTCACTCCGGAACTTTGACCGCCTTGGTAAACCCATCATGGCAGCAGCACCCTTCTTCATCGATGATGCGGACATCGGCGTTGAACGCACAACACCGAAGAGAGACGACTACCGTTCTCATATCATGGCTGTTGCTCTTGCTCTCGGAGACCTCATGACTACCGCGACTAGAGCTTACAAAGCTGGTTCAACAACCGCGGTGGATAGTTGCTGGGATTTCCCTTCGCTATCGGAAATTACAGCTGGGAGTAATTTCGATCAGTTCCACATGTCGCATCGAGGTAAGGCACTTCACGAATCTCCTCTTCAATCTACTTAAAGCAGCAGTATACCTGGAGACATGGTATCATGTTGCCGCCATGCTATCCTGTCGCTATAGCGGGCCAAATACCGAACAATACAATCGACGTCTTGCGTCCGCGGATAGAGTGCTCGAGATAGTCTCTCGTGAAGGATGCGAAGGCCTTCCTCCGCTTCCACTAGTACCTTACGCCATGTCTATGTCGACAACGGTCATCTACCGAGCTTTACACGATCGTGTAAGAGACATTGGTAAAGCACGAGTGGACCTTCGCCAGTGCTGCGATGTCCTCGATGACCTGAGTGAGCGGTGGACGAGCGTGAGAGGCGTGGCTAAGCTTGCAAAGCGACTTTGCAGACTGATAAGCGACGGTGCACACGACAACTTGCGAGACGCGCATCGAGGTGGTACTACCACATCCAACAGCACAGTATCAACTCTGGCTATACCAGCCAACAGCGACGCTGTTACGGACCAGATAGGAGTTCTATATAGCGACGAGGCTTTCCAAAGATATCTCACCGACATCTGGCCAAGCTTCGATGCATCCTACTCTCAGTTAGATTGGGCATTTCAGGACTATGGCTTGGACATGGAATTCCCTAGTCCGTACGATGATTTGCAATCTTGATAAGTTCAGAATCCGACAAAAGATTGATCGACAGCACAGTCGGAACGAAAATTTCGAAGTATTGCATAAGAAACTCATAAATTCATTGCTTAATCATCCTAATCAAAGGGCCTGACCAACCGGTCTATTGCCTGAGAACTCGCCATTTTGCGCATGCTCCACGCGAGGTGGACTATACGCAACATACTCTTGTTGCTGAACCCGTCCTTGTCCCTGTGTATTACTGCCCACATCGCCCAAATTTAACCCATCTCTCTTTCCAGCATCCAACTCGCTGGGTGGTGGCATCTCCCTGCCATCGATTTCCCAGACGTTTGCGTTCGTCGGCATCTCGTTGCTTTCTGGTATCTTGGAGTCCATGTATTGGTGGTATTGTGCTGGCTTTTCGTCGGAGTATCTGGGTGCTGGAGTGGTACTAGATACAGAGTGACGTGCAGCGACGGCGCCGGCACCGGCTCCCATGGCTGCTGCGCCTCCGAAGGTTGATGTTGATGCCCATGGTGCCTGGCTTCCAGACTCCATAGGAGATACGGGAGACATCATTGTTGTTGGTTGTGTTGAAGACCTGTCGGTTTGCGTAGGAAGGGTAGTAGTGGTAGAATATGTGTTTGGATGCGGAATATGTGTGTATGCGCCGTTCGTCGGTGGGGAGTGGTCGGACGAAGAAGATGCTGCGGGACTGGCCTCTTTGTCGTTCAGCATCGCGCTTCGGGATTTCTTCTTCCGGTGACGGAGAAGAAGGAGGACGAATATGCCAATTAGGGCCAGAGCTGCGACCCCTCCTACTACCACGCCAGCGATTAGACCTGTTGAGGGACCGGAACTTGAATCTGAGGATGATGCGCCTGCGGCAGCTGCACTCGACGACGTTGGTTCTTCTGATGCGGTGCTTGAAACTGCGCCCGCAGTTGACGATGCCTCTGTTGTTGTCGGTCCGGTGCTCCTCGCTGTACTGCTTGCCTCCTCTGTTGCACTCGTTGCCGTGATCTCAGCCGCAATGCTCGTAGGATTCGCAGGTGTTGGTAAAGCATTCACCACACTACCCGCTACGCTCTCGATAACGGCCGTAGGCACCGTAACGCCGTTGCTCGACAGCACTGAGGAGACATCGCCAACAATGCTGGATAACAGATCGCCAATCTGTCTCTGTTGAAGCTGATGATTCCTCCGTACTTTCTCCGCGCCAATGCTACCTGCCGCAAGACAATAGTCGCTCGTATAACTCTCGGCGATCGAACGATCCGGGTGCGATGTTGGCTGCGACGCGTGGTTGTCGAAGCATGAGACGCGCCATAGGTACTGTTCGCACAGGCACGTATAGTCGGGAATCGGGGTGGTATTGCAGGGAAAGTAGCCCTTAACGGCGGATATGCAGGAAGTTATTGCACTAGATTGGTCAATGTCAGTAAACTTCGTTCCTGTTGACCAATTCGCGGTTGAGAATGCATAATTACATCTGTTCATGGTTCGCGCCCTGACCAGCAGTAACAATGGGCCATCGCAGCGCCGGCACGAGCTTGAGCAGGACACCAAGCATCATCAGAAGCGTGGTTGACGGATGAACGGACCCGTTCGAAGCGACAGCACCATCAGCGCTTTAACGTACTAGCCAGACCTACTTTCATCAGGCTTGCGAAGTGGCGGTAACCGGGCGTTCCATTCGTTGATCCTGCACCGGCAGAAGCGGGGACACCGACCCATCTATGCAATGCTCTGTTCCGAGCACCCGTCTCGCGATAGGAAACCTGTTGGCCATCGATGATGTAGGTGTGGAGGTGCGGCTTACCTGTGGCTGGGTAAACCAGGGGATCCGTGAGGTTTAACTGGTGGGGAGAACTTTAGCCTCGTGCGCTAACGGGCTGCCCTGATGGCATCGCAACGTGGAGACCATGAGTTGGGGCATGATCACCGTTTGTGAGACGAGAACGCGTCGAGCTAGGATAATTGACGTGCGCAATTGTGCTACGGGCGTCGATGCACCGCCACACCTGCAGTGTTCTGGGCCCACGTACTCTGTATAGAATGTGGATTTGTGATGCTTGGGGTATGGTAGAAAGTGAACTGCCGACTCCAAAATGATGCTCCGCTGAAAAGAAATGGGTATTGAAGCACTGCCACAACCGTCCTCCGGGCCCTGGAAGTGTCCATTGAGAAACATTCAATAGAATCTTACTTCCCGTTGGTACCATCACCGTGACCTTCCAACCGGTTTACCAACCTCTTGACGCCACTCCACTCCTCGCTACGTGTCTGGACACCTCCAAGATCATCGCCCACCTCGAAGATGGTGACGACGCCATCCATGCCTCCCACTGCAACTCTGCGCCCTTCGTTCCTCTCCCATGCCAACTTGTTCAGACTCCTGTTCATGTAGCCAAGACCAGTTGGCATGTTCGTAAACGCGCCACGCTTACCGTCACTGGGCTTGACCGATTGAACAGGAACCTCGACATCTACGTTGATATCCCAGACTTCGAGACTTCCCGCTCCGTCGACAAGCGCGAAGACGGAGGGTTTGACAGGCGACCATCGAACGTCATAAACGAGATCTTCGCGTGCAATGTCGAGAACGGGTGTTACTTGTTGCGTTGCACCAGGAAGTGTTGGGTTGGTAGCGCCTGTAGCAGCCGGCGGGCGGACCTTCCAAAGCTTGACGCTCCAGTCGACACTCGACGACAGAACAAGGTCCCCTAGATCGATCTGACCCTTGGCGGGATGGAAGTCTAGACTCATAACGGGCGCAGCATGGCCAGCGTACTTTACGCGGCCGTCTACACCTGCTTTCGCACCGGCTCGGTCATAGCGATGGCATGGGTAA